CCCCCGTTGTACCACCAGCCCCGATTGCCGCCAGGTTTTGCCAATGTAAGAAAAGAATCCCCTATAATATAAAAATATAGTATTTGTGCCTTTACCCTTATTAGACTACTGCAAATTTACCCCGTTTTACCGCCAGCGAACTGGCTGCCAGAACTACACAGTACACACTAGGCTACACACGGCGCTCAGCACATCCACTCGGTGGTTGGCTTGACAATATTTCACACACAAGTCTCTACGAGCTAGACCTAGGTCTACACATCAAATGCTTTTCGCCAATTTGCTCCCTCCCTCACCCATTCCACACCCCCATCCTTGCCTTGTAAATACCAGGCAATATGGATAGATCTACAATGATGCAAGCTTATTGTGCCACAAGCAAACACAATACAATGCGCAATGTAGAAGAGTACAATTAAAATAAAATATATTTGTGTAATTCAGCGTCAAATTAAATTTCGCTCATGCATGATGCCCTGATTTTGAAATGCTAGTATATCAAAGTCAATATAAAACAATTGGAATTTGAAGATATCATCCCAAAATAGCTTATAAGCTTGTGAATGCTCGTGGGACTTTTATTTAGTAAGGACTCTCGCTTAAGTCAAAGTGAAAGATCGAAGGGAGATAACGCTTTACTTTATCTAGTGGTGAGTAAACAAGTTGCTTTGACGCTGGGCAGTCATTGATACATATTATTATGAATTTAACAGAGGACATGTAAACCTCGTTGTACCGCCAGCCCCGCTGTACCGCCAACTTCATGCTCGTCCATAGGTGGGCGGTATAACGAGGTTTGACTGTATTTCTGTGTGGCAGATCAGAATGTAACCATGGCGGCCAATCATATACTTTCATAATTTGGAAAAGTGGTTCAGCTATGCTCGCTTATACTCTGATCATGTCTCCCTAAAAAAAAAACACGACTTCATCAACGCTCCAACTGTTAAATCTTCTCCCTCCCCTTTTGTTACCCATTTGCTTTGGGAATAAGGGATTGTGGGGGCGGGGGGGGGGGGGGTGGAGGCATTAGTTCTTCCCTAAATTATACCAATGATATTATATACCGTTGACCATCATCATACTTTTTACAAGTCTTGTGAGAGGATATTATGCTTTCTTTCCTATGCCTAATGAGAGTTTAAAATTATGGCCGTTACCTAAGAATTTTTTTTTAATTTCAGAAGAGAGGCGTGATGGTGCTGAAAAAGTCTAACTCTTACCTAAACTCTGGCGCTACCCAGAGACTGACCAGTCATGAGCGGATCGATGTCCACACCCTGGGAGGCCTCGATCCTGACAGCTATATCTCAGTAGTTCGAGTGCGGAAGGATGACAGGCGCTTGCTACCTTTTGGGAATGTTGGGCGGACTGCCCTCAGTTCTCAAGAGGAGAAGAGATATGTGTCAGCAGAGGAAATTATCTTGCAATATTTGGATCTTGACGAACACAGCACGATCTTTGGCCTTGGCCCTCGAGTTCAAGTCGTTGAAAGTAAAGCTTGCAATTTGTGGCAGAGACGGATCTTAGCACACACTTTTAGTCTAGATCGGGCAAAGATGTGGTTTTTGCCTGAAAGATTTCATAATATTATGCAAAACGACGAATTTGCCGAGGAAATCTCAAAACATGCAGACCTGAAAATAACAGAAATGCGACAGAAGCGTGGTAGGCCATACGTTAGAACAAAACAAGAATGGAGTTCGTTTGACATGGTACAGCAGCGTGGGAAAACGAACAATACCAAAGTTATGCCAAACGCCCAGCAATTGAATCACGAGAGGGTAGCTAAGAAAAGCAAACGATCGTGTCACCCTCGAGGTATCCAGAGGCCGGCTATGTGGCAAAAGGAGACATCGAACAAAAAAGAAAGAATACTCCAAGAACAGATGGAGGAGAGACCCGCTCAGACGGTGTACATTGATATTGTGCTCCCAAGACAATTAGATGCAAGAGATGCAAACTGTAATTTCAACGTCAAAAGATACAATCACCGTCCTTACAACGCCCCAAGGACAGCGAGTATGAAAATCAAACACCTGAAATCTGCACGCTTGAGGGCATGGCATGAGGAAGTAAATGAGGAATCCTCATTGTCCTACGAAGCAGATGACAAGTTCTCCTCACAGTTGGGCGGTCAGTATGGCAAACTTGACAGCATAGATGAAACTGATGACACTGAGGCACAAAGACAGTCGGTGAAGTTTAACATTATGGACTTTTGCAAGCCTAATGGCACAAACAGAGGTCCTCGAAAGAGAAATCAACGCAAGAAGAAAAAAAGCTGTGACATGTCACAGCATCTTTACGAAGAGCCACATTTGCATATTCAGTACATATCGATGGAAGAAGCATTGGAATACCTCGTTGACTCCACTGGGGATTCTCGTGTTCTTCCAGGTGGACAGGTTGATCTTGCTTTGGCTGTGAGCGAAAACTGTTGCATCGACGTCGCTTTTGACTTTGTGCCTGACGTGAACGAAACAAGCAGTGATTCATCCTTTGAACACCTCGATATGGACGGGGCAAACTGTGATGACGATACTGTTCGTTTTTACGAAGGTATTGCCAACTTCGCGAAAGATTTCCGATAACTATGAGTTTAGAACCAGGGGAATCATGATCAGAAAATATAATATCCGCGATGATGCTGTGTTCATAATGCAGGTCAAAGTCTAACCTTCCTCCGCTTCAGAGGAAATTGTAAGAGAGAGGGGGGAGGAGAGAGGGGGGAG